TCAGCGGCGATATAGTTATCCAGGCAAAAGGTGAGACCAATCTCCGATACTCCTTGATTGATCGCCGGTACTGACTGAAAACAAATGATAAAAGGAAGGGAACATCACATTTAAAAATTATTACCATAGGGATCACATACCACACGAATTATGTATTCCATCTTCTCAACACTTTCCTGCAGGTGGCGGATATCTTTCTGTACCTGAGCCACCGCTTTCTCGTACTCAGCAACTTGATGATTCAACTTCTCACCCCAGGCAACTATTGCCTGTCGGTGAGTTTGAAGCAAGCTGATTTCAGCTAATCGAGATGGACACCGATCACAGTCGGTCGGCTGAAAATAGAACGTAAATTAGACGAAAAGGTAGGTAATTCTTCCTCTCCAATACTTACTATTAACGTCTGGATCATTTTACGATGAAAGTCTTCGGGAGACAGACAGGAATAATGACATGTTAGCTAAATGGATTAGATTAAGAAAAATAGCAGTTTCCCTATAAGCATAAAGTCCTGGGAGGGCTGCCAATATTTAAATACACAAGGCCTCACAACCTTAGTAAGAAAAGTAAAAATACACATTTAGACGATTGAAATACTTGTTCAGAGAAATTCGTCTCACGAAAACTTATTTATTTTTTTGACGTTCATCATGGGAGACGCGTTCTTGCCATTGCGGCACTTCCCCATGCAGTAACCCCAGGTTCACATATGTGAGCTACTGTATTTTTGGGGTCTGTTGCTGAAAAAGGCGACAATAAATATTTTATTAAAATTTTAATTATAAAATAAAATCATATACCTTCCATAAGTACGACAAGTCAGCGTACTTCTTGAGCAGCACCTCTCGTGTCTGCTGGAGGTCCTCCAGTACTCCAAGTACGCGGGCCAGGCATTGTCCATTCTCGATCGTATTCCGTTGACACACCATGGTGCACGCCGTGATATTCCGCACAATCTCATGGTGTGTGGAACAACCTCCACACACCCCACATACCCTCTGAAAAAAATAAGTTATAAAAAGAATATTTTTCCAATTTAAAATACTAAACAGTTCACTACAATAAGCAGAATGAAGAGCAAAAACCAGGGCTGCCCTCTTCCTCATCGTCCGAATACACGCCCTCGCTATTGGAGTCGTGTTCCGAATAGGATTCTTCGCCCTCATACTCAGGGATGGGTGCGAAGTTATACAAATATCTGGGAATTAGATTCATCCTTTTCTCTCGTTTCTGAATTAATAATATTAAGGATTGTTAGAAATAAATCACGGAATACGGAACATGCTCAAAGGGAGACCTAACAGAGTGAATAAAACTAGTAGGCCTCACAGTAGAACGAAGACAGCAAATACTCCTTATGCTCTATGACCTCTTCTTATATAGCAGCTTATTAAGCACATCCACATAACAGAAACAATCATTTATCTCAAGTATTTGCACAGGGATTATCCACGTGAACAGTCCCCCTCGAATGCACTTCCCAAAACTACAGTGTTTTAAGGTCTCCCCAATGGCATGCCGCGATTCTAAGTAAACAAATATCTTAAGCATATATATTACATCCACCAATGGGTATCACTGAAATAAAATATATAAAAACCATTCCAACACTAGTTTGAACCAAAGAAAACAAAAACATGGCGCAATCTCTGAAATTTCATGATTTTCCCTATCTGCATAATCAGTAAGGCAAGGCAATTCATATACAATACTATTTTCCCAATATACTTCTAATTACAACCTAAATAATAATTAAAATCAGAAGGAACCACCTTACCATAACTAACTCACATTAATATCCTTTCCTTCCTCATGGCGCAATGCTAAGTATCGTCAGGTACCGCCTATCCTTGCGTCTGACCAAACATTCTTTCTACAATGTTTATTTATCGCACACATGTTGTACTATGCATCTCATCGGTATTATGTAGCTTCACGCTTTACGAGATTGCCCGTGCCATACCGGAAGCACGATCTAAGCTCGAGGACGAGCTTCCTGTGAGGAATGGAGTGGGTTCGAGACAGCCGGGTCGACTTACACTACTCCGCAGCAGTGGATCATCGCCCTAGCCCTATGGCCTCCTCGTCTTGACCCGTTCCCCCCTATTCTATTTATAATGTTGTATTAGTAATAAATATATATAGGCAAGAATACTGTATCACAGAAGAACACCCGTTCCCGCTACACCCTCAGATGTAGGAGTCACGAACATATAATCCGATATCTTTATACAGTCCAAAATAGATCATAAATGCAGTATAACAAAATAAGAGCCTTCAATGGAATGAACAAAATAAGAGCCTTCATTGGAATGAACAAAGTAAGAGCCTTCAATGGGATGGAAAATACAAAGAGCACAGACAAAGGATTAACTAGGCAGACATACACGCAGAAGGAGATCACTCCGATGGAATATGGTAGTCGTGACCAGGGCTTCGCCCCCATGGCGGGAGTGGGACCGTAGATGCCGCCCGTGAAATTCCTTGGTGTCATTTGAAAACATTATCATCTGACCGCTAGTATAACGCGGCTTACAGATGAAAGAGCGGACCGCGCCAACGGCAGGACCTATGTTTCCTACTTTATTGCACTAATGATACCGCCAGGACATGCCTGTGGTCTCATCTCAATAGATACTCATATAAATTCATGCCTAAGGTTAATATGTTGAACTAGCATGTTATCAGACCAACATGTAGAACACGTATGGGCTCAGTAAGATACCGCCCGCAGGGGACAGGACATGATCGGAATGAGCGGTGCTTCAAGCAATAGCACTTGTTCGGGCTTCAGCAAAACCTAGACGCCGAGAATAGATGGGCCAAGTTTAAGAAGGCGTCAACAAATCAGAAAAAGGAGACTAATCTGCTGTGGGCGGAGCGCCCTCAAAATGGGTAGTCCTGTCTGCATGGATTCATACCATGGTTCCAACAAAAGTTGTGAAGGTCACACAAAAACTGCTGTAGTGAACAATGTCTGAGGCGTGCTATGCATGCGGAATTTTAGCAAAGCTCGACCACATATGGGCGGAGCGTGCTCCTCGTGTCTTCGGTTAAAGGGAATAGCATATAGCTGTATTTTGGTAGTTGATTGCACACCGCCAGTACTCATGAAACCAAATAATAAGTGGAAACATATGAGAGACAAATGGAAGGCTAAGTGCCTGACACTGAAAATCGTAGCTTACATTTCACTAGAAGATGATCGCAACATACCATTAAGCATCATTGGCATGAGCACTAGGCCGTTCCCCACACAACCGATCAATGTGGCGATGGGGTGATCTGGTAAGATTAGAATGGAGTTCCTGGGATGAAAGCCGTAGAACCGATCATATCGCTGAATTGGGTTGATTTTAATTGCGAGAGAATATCGTATTCACCGGACCTTCACCGTCCATTCCATGAGACCACCATAGAGAAGATAACCCCTCCACGGTTTTCCTACGGACTCTCAGAGCGTCTCCCGGAGGAAGTGGCACCGCAATGTAACCTTTCACTAGCCCAAGCATAAAGTATAAAACTGTCTTTGAACTCTCCTCACACATGCTAGGCTGAGCATACCCTTTTATCTTGTTTTCGTAACTTGCTGTAATAATATTCCCTAGACAGTTGTAATGAATAACCCACATCGCGCACCCAGCTTACGCGCTCTACTGTTAGTATAAAGGTGCGCAGAGCAAGTGATGTACCAGGTCCTGCGCGGAAGACCTACGTAGGCAAATGACAAAAATTGATCACTACAACCATATTTATTGTTGTCGTGCTAAATTTGTTTACTTTTTGATCATCTTTGTTGATTTTAGTTCCGTTTCTCATTGAATTTGGTATGATTCTGTTCGTAATAGCTATCTTTGCCGTTTGAGCTGAGTAAGTGGATGGCTCGTGTCGCAGGCTTATTTAAATTGGGCCTTTTCAGGGAGCTAGCTTCTAGTTGCTGCAATGGGAGTTGACATCGAAACTATCAAGGCCGGAGATGGTATGTTTTGTTGCTAAGGCTTTGCTGTCAACTGATGTCGGTTTAGATGGTACTGCAGTATAATTCTGAAATTATTCAAGCAATACTTTTCACTGGATTTGCTCGGTTTTATCTTTTCATTGAGCAATTTTTGGTTATATTCCGTGGCTCGGTCTCAAATTTCTTTGCTTAATTCTAAAACATCCCACTTCACAAGAGATAGTGGTGACACGACAGTGATAGTTGTTTGGATATCTGAAGAATTTCTAGCTGTGGTACTGTGGTGCTGCCTATTTCAAAGCTTCATGAATGCCTATCTGTAGAATTTTACGACGACCGAGGTTCATTGATGAAGCTTTAGCTGTTTTTTGTCTCAGCGCGCACTTACAATCTCACATTTTCTGCGGATTTTCGGGGTGGCAGTATTATTCATGGAGCAAGCGTTATCGCTTAGTAGATGAAATTCAGTGTATGCGTGGGTGACTTGAAAATTAAGTTCAAAAAGGTTACAGATATCGGGCAATGCGGCATCAGATACCCTTCTCATTTTTGATTTTCGCTCATAAACGTTTATTTGTGAGCGAATGTAGGTTAATGCTTGATAGCACACTGGTATTCGTGAGTTGGAATTTGGAACAATTCCGCCCGACAGATCGGTTCCGAATAGTTTGAAATGATATAATCGATGGTTTGTACATCGGCTTATACTCGCAAGCTTTTGTGTGGGCGAAACCGCGGCGCATTCGAACGCCACTACTCTGGATGAGAAGATGAGAAAAGTCTACGTAGATAAACTCTAGAATGAAACTGCTTGACAACATATTTCTCATGCTGTTATTATCTTTATTCCCACTTACACTTTCTGCTATAGTTGTTAAGGTCTCCCAGCTCCAAAAACCTTCATCAATTTCCTTTTTTTAATCTGGTGATTTAATCTTTTATTGTATACATTTAGGTGCTACCTTCCCGAAAACGGGTCAAACCGTAACCTGCCATTATGTCCTTACCCTACAGAATGGAAAGAAGGTATCTTAACATTCAGTATTTTTTACAACCTGCTGCCAGTGACTTTACCAATACGTTGTTCAGGTGGACAGCTCGCGCGATCGTGGGTCCCCATTCAAATTCAAGATTGGAAAAGGCGAAGTTATCAAGGGATGGGATCAAGGAGTAGCTCAGGTTATCATACATTTCGTGGGTTATTTTCTTGTCCTGTAAATACTATGTAATAAGAATAATTCAGATGTCTGTTGGGCAGAGGGCCAAACTTACAATCTCTCCGGATCTTGGCTACGGATCGGGCGGAGTTCCCGGAGCAATCCCTCCAAATTCTACGCTTATCTTTGATGTGGAACTGATTAGCGCAAACTGACTGATTGAATAATTGGCTGTTTTTCTTAATATTGTTTCTTCAAAGCAAAGATCTTCATTCTACGAGCGATGATTTCATTTCGCAATTAAATGTGTTTAACTTGTTTAATAAATGAAGCGATTCTTCTATGTCGATGTATCGATAAGTTACGCCCAGAATAGAGTTCTGGCCGGATAAGACCAGCTCATTTCAGAAAAGTCAAAATTCTATAATGCTTCAAGAACTGAAGTGACTCGCTTTTGCGATCTACTCACTCAGAATACCCGTTACGAAGGGACCGAATTTGATCACGGTGGTTGTTTAATGCAAACACACATCAGTAATAAGAGTGTCCATGATGATTTTACTTTGTAAATGGCACGAAGAAACGCAGAATAATGGATGTGTACATGACATTAACAAAAATAGCATAAACGGAGTACCCCACGTCGATATGAACGTTTGCCTATTTGTTGACAAGTCATTCCATATGACAAAGAGTATGAGGAGAAATCTACTGATAACAAAACCAGGAATGGTTGGTCCGCCAGTACCAATCCACGATGTTGTGGTTGAGGCTGTAACCATCTACAAATCATTCTTAGTACTTAACGTATTGTAAACGATTATTACAAATACATTAAGTACTAAGAATCATCTGAAAAATTAAGCGCACTGGGTAGACCAAGTAACCCTGAATTGCAACAAAATCGTCCCCGTTTCGACAATTCCTTCAGAACTCCATTCCCCACTTCATCAATTTAGCACAAACCTAGCACGATAGATGGTTGCTATAACGGAGCACAGACAGGAGCTTTTGCTTATGCAACCGCCTACGACAGCACGTATTCGTCCCTAAAATGAACCAGGATGGTTCCATCTATCAATAAAGCTTCGCTTTTTCTGTCTAGCATCAACGTTGCTACCACCCTATCAAGCACCTTATTCCACAAGCATCTACCAACCATCTTTTCTACGCGACGAAGCTCAATTGGTGAAAATATGAGTAGCATTCGTTAGAGATGAGAAGCCTCAACGACGGAAGGCGATCATTTTGTTACAGTGTGGTAGACTTGAACTTAGGCATGAAAAGAGCAAAATAAACGTTTTGCTTTTTGATTCCATGTATATCCTAATATTTGGTAAGATCGTTTATCCATACCACTCGACACAAAATATCAAATAGTTGAATTTTTGAAGATCTAGGGTAGGTGTCAAACTGTAACTTGAGCAAAAGAATCACATTGCAGCAAAACTGATTTGAGGACTGAATCATGTCAACAGGATAAACTCAAATGATTATGAATACAATCTAAGGAAAGAAAGTGAAAGCGACCCGTATTCTACAATACAGTATACAAGAAAATAAATTAATTAAAAAGAAAAAAAATCACACAGAACATGTGAAAGAAAGATGTTGAATTGACAAAATGAAAAAGAGTACAGTGTTAATCGGGTTGAACACTGTGAAGGTTCCGGACCATCCTTCCTATATGTTTACATGCTGAGAGATTCGGACGTATTGAGGACACCTCTAAAGGCTGCACAGCATCGAGCCGAACGTGGGCGTGAGAGTGCTGAAAAGCAGTTTTCCACTCCAGTCACATCCACAGAAAGGCAAGCAGGAGAACATTTTGCAACTAGCTGCAGAATCCGAAGATCATTATTTAGCACCTATGAAATCTAAACTAAAAGCCGAAATATGTTTCTTCTCATTGTGACTATTTCTCGGCTCTGATGAACCAATATTCATCCAAATGTTACAGCCAAAGTTTTTTATTCAGAAGTAATAATCACAGCTGATTTGATATGATAGCACATGTGCTTTTAGCGACCTACGGGTTTCATATCATGTCAACACAAATGAGGAAATTCGTCCATCATTTTTCATAAATCTGGTCAGTGTCAATAACAAGTGCAGGAGTTGGTCACTGCATGGTTGTTTTCTGAAAAATGGTTTACCTGAGAGAGTAGCTTCAACGATGATGTTCGGAGCTTGGCTTCCCTCTTGTCCCATAGATCTTGTATCAAAACTTTAATCTAAAATTAATGATGATCATAACAAAGAAAGCAAAACAGGATTCTGCTATAAATTTCCAAGCCGAAGTTGGGGCTTGACAACGGGCAAACTATCGAATGCACCGTCAAGTAAAACTAGAATTGATGCTTCACCTGGTCACCATCAACAATGTCTTCCTTGGCTATCCTAACAAGGATGTTAGAGATTTCGAAGATGAAAGGCGGAAGTCGTGAGAGGCCAACGGTTTCACCTTCAGTCGCAACGAGCCGTTTCAATTCATCGAGACAGAACCAATAGGGAGGCTGAAAAAAGATGAAACAGCATCATTCGATAGGTCGAAGAATCAGACTTCAGCAAAACAAATTCGCAGTTGTATACCGAAGGAAAGGTAATCGTATCGAGGCTATCTGCTAAATAACACAACGAAAACGAAAAAATGCAAAACTCCACAATGCAAAGAACGGAAAAGTACATGGTATGGGGGAGAAACGACGAATCACATTTCTTTCTCATAATTTGACCGCTACAGGTCCTTGCTAGTACTTTCACTTGTGCCGGACACCCTCACAATATCGAAAACCAGAGAGATAAGAGGTCGTGGTAGCAAAAACTGTCCCAAACAAAACATTCGCTCCCTGTATGTCAACAATATAGTGAGAGTGGTTTTCACCACATCAACTACAAGCGCCGATGATGTCGTTTCTGACCTTTTCCAGAATCATTATTACATGAGGAAATTCATTCTGCTCTTTTGTCTCAAACGTTGCACACTTATTCTATCCCACGCCAACTAAGCCGAATATGTAACCTATTCACCATCTTACAAGCATGCTTTCCAAACATATAGTTCCAAAAATCATTCATAGCATTCTGGTTTTTGGATGTCTCTAAATTATACAACTGTGGCTGTGCTCTCAGTTGCATAAATAGTCAACGCCGAATCTTCAGCAGATAGCACTACACGTACAGAAAAGGAAAAGTTTGGGCGGTCATGCAAAATTTTCTACGAGGAACTCGACTTGTCCTTACTATATAATCATAATGCGCTCGCGTCTGTCTGCGTGCCTGTGTGCCAAATTTGACGTTACCAGAAGAAGCATCTGGAGAAGTCGGGTGAAAAATGGTATGGGTGTGGTAAAAAGCATGATCAACGAGGCACGTGTGAGCTTAGCGAGCTGTGCCTTCCTGGGACACATGCTTAGGTGAGACATGCATCGAAATTGGGGATACCATGGTGAAACTTTGTATTTAGTTCCGTAACAAGACGCAAGGGAAAAATAGCAAAGGTGAGGGCCGAATATTGAATGAAGTGGATCCACTCGCATAGTGGGCGATGCTTTTACAAACCCATAGTTCCATTCAACGAGAGCATGGAGACTAGAGATAAATAGAAGTAATTAGCAAGGTCAAGTACGTGCTGGGCATGCCTAAACTTAGCAAAGCTTTGCCTACGATAGGCGGGATGTGCATACAAATGAAAAGTACTTGTTGAAAAAAGACTCTGCCCGAAAATGTTCTACAACTCGAATATGAACTGGTTAGAGACTATTGAAAGAATGTGGTCAAGTCCAAGAAGTGGGAAGGGTTTGCACATCTCGGCAGGGCTACAATCGAAAATACACAACTCTATTCAAAAACATTCTAAAATGCGTATGAAAACTTTCTTAGAAGATAAAAGAAGAAATAAGAAATTTGCTCAAGACCCCGGTTTGTAATAAATAAATTTTGAATCAAAAATTCGTACCTCTGAATAAAAACGTTTAAAAATCATGAGATTACTTACTATACGAAGTCATCAATGTTACTTGCGATAAGTAAAGAATTGTGTCCTCTCTCTATCGTGACCTTCACGAAACCCTATATCACCTTAGGAAGCAGCTGTAGAGGTTTGGTCAAGTTTGTTCGGGCGTGAATCAGACAAGAGAAAAAGAGCACATGTGAACTACGCAGAGTTCCATACAAAGAGGCGGGACTTGCACCGGAAAAGATGCTGCAAAGAGCAAAGTTCTTAACCCAGATCAACACAATTTACAAGTCTGTTTGATCCGTTATTTGTTGTGAGCCAAATGTTGTGAGAAAAATGAGTAGAAGTGAAATCGGGACAACCAATAAGAAAGAGGACGGAGGTACCCCCTCTCCTCCGCGGTGGGCGGAGATCCTCACAGCGGGTTGAACTTTCCACGTAAAACAATAGTTCGAATAAAACACAGTCTTCAAGCCAGATCTTCGAGGGGTAGAGTTTAGATCGAGGAGTTCGTAACTCTATTTTATGCGTTCTTTGCTGTGATGGACGCTTTAGTGCGCGTATTCTCAATGGTAACTTTTAAAACCTCCAATATAATTTTAAGATACAGATAAAATAAGACCGGACCATCGAGAAAACATGGAACACCCGCAAGCGCTCCTAACTGATTCACAGCTTTAGCTATCAGAGTGCAAGGTCTGATATGGACTGACCAGTGTTTGTGAGATTTTGATGCTGCAGGGATGAGACTGGTAGCATACAAATTCTTTTCGCCTGTGAAAGAGCTATCAACATAAAACAGAAAACGACTGGCATCCCACTGAATTGAAATCCAGTTGGAATTAGAATTTGTAACTAATTTGAATTAGAATCCAGAGAACGAAAATATGGACCGAAATGTGAAGAAAGTAACATCAGGAACCTGACAGATAAATCCCGAAACTATTCAGATTTCTCTTTGCTTTGTGTGTTTAATAACTATACAAATACTACGGTCAAAGACAATGCATGCATTTCGCTTCAATCTGTCCTACCCCGAAACACGTTAATGAAAATTGTGTTTGCAGTGTTTAAAAATATAATAAAAATGTGGCTTACTTGATAGGTACAGAAAAAAATTGAGAAGAGCTTGATCAGTATATTGGAGTCTGAACAAATCCCGATCTATCATCCAGATTTACCTCCAGGTCTGGGTCATATTTTTATTGGTAAAGAGTTGTGCCACATTTCTTAGGACTCCAGTAAAACAGTAGACTTCGATATGTACCCTTAACACGAAAGGAACTATCTAACCTCCAACCCTCAAGCTCTCACGCGTCTGCGCTGTTGATATCTAAGATGCCCTGCCGCTAAGCAATCTACGCGCCAGTAATTGAGACAAGAAGACAACTGACCACTATTTCACAATGTTGCTTTCTTCTTAGGTCGACTGCTAACCAAAGAGGGACTTGAACAGGAACTCCAGCTTCAAGTGGGCCGACATCACCACAAACCAAATGAAGAACTGGTTCATTCCTTCGAGGTATTATCTGGAAATTTAGCAATTATCTGCTTCCAGTAACGGAATACGAGAAGCAACTGCACGTACCACATTTCTTGGATATTAAAATTGACTAGAAAATATTTTTTGGCATGTTTTGATTGCTAGATTCATTTTATATCATTTCCAACACAAACAACCAGTGAACAGTGACCAACCAGACATTAGTAACGATCATTGGATGCACTACATCTTAGTGGTTAACGGGAAAACCTTGCCACTTTTAGAGCAAAAGTGCCGAAATTTGGCTACGCCATCCTTGATTCGCTTCAACGCCGGTGTTTTTAAATCGTATTTCCAAAGAGAAACGAATACATCAATTCAATAAGCGCATTAAGATTTTACTAGACCTCTTGAATTTTCTGATCTAATAGTATGCTGTATTGCACGTACGCAGTGTCATGTTCTTCATCGCCATTATTTCGCAGATCCTTACTACACTGTTTACCCGAATACCGAAAATTTCCAGAAAAAGCAAATGAACAAAGAACTCATTGCTACTAGCATAGTGTTCCCAGCCTCCGGCTCATATCGGGGACGATGAAGCGCGTCTAATGCGCAAGAAAAAAGCTTTACATGCTTGAAGGGCCGCAGAATCACCCTGACTTTAATATGGTAGGATCCTCTAAAAAGCTAGCACCGTAAAATACTTAATGCTATTGAAAGATCGAACTCCTCACAGCATGGTGCTTAAAAGAGGCTTGTTAACAAATTTGTTCGATTTGGTTTGACTCCCAACAAGTCGGTACTTCTGCTGACTTTTTATTGTGTCATGTTGCTTTCGCTACATACATTGCATATTATTTTGCATGTATTTTCTAAACAAACGAAATCTCCTGATTCAAAGCGAAGTAGTGATAGAACAAACCCATTTTTCATCTTGCTCTGCACTGCTCACGAAATGAGAAGTAGAAAATCCCAGAGCAATGACTCTCTTTATAGCCTTGAGTTCCCCCAAAGATTTTCAGTATGAATTAATTCACAAAACTTATTCGGGAACAGGCGTATATGGAAACTGGTAAGAGTTTCCATCTGTATTACAATTGAAGAAATACTTATTAGATGTTATTCAAACAGAAGTATAATGTAGAAAAAGGCCTTCCCGTAATATGTCGATGTAAGCGCAGGGGGAAATGACATTGTAGAAATTTTAGTGTTAGTACTTTTAGCGGTACACAACAAAGAAAACAAAGCTAGGAATGAATTCGTGTGAGGGCAACCGTGTGCTACAACCTTCTGTGACCAGTATGTCTAACCGACTGCAGTGGCTTTTTTAAACTTCAATATATGCTCAGCATCTTCAGTCCTTAATCAGATGCCATCAACACTTTGCCGGGAGATTAAAATTACCCTAATAACTTGTGTTTCAAAGAAGTAGAGGGCNTCTTACTCTGTACCCCTTTATCGTAGCCCTGCTTATGTTCTATAAGCACCCCTGGTCAGATGGGCTAAAGGGTCTTATAGAGCACCTGCAATATTATCATTATACTAGCTATTAACCAAATGGATTCCTGAGTTTGTTAGCGAGCACTTCTTCCGACGGTTGCTTTTGAAATTTACGATGCGTCAAATGCGATAAGCATTCTTCACCCTGCTCCCTCACCATTGCTGCCAGCCATAGCCTAGTGTGCAACGATTGAACTGCAGCACCAGGTCATGATTACACGCGTTTCTGAGTAAGCTCCGCCTTCCAGTTACGTTCTTCCGATTATGGACAATAAAGTCGGGTCGAAAATTGAACACCACTACAAACTACCAACCACCCGAGACCGCATAGTCGATCAATGATCTATCACGCTTGACATCAATGTGATAGCGACTAATGAAGCGATTAACATACGAGCGAAACCGGAAGCTCAGCTGGAGCGCATTCAGCACGTTCAGCCCTGAAGTGAAGTATAAACTCAGTGCACACGTTGTATCGATTGCCGCATGCGATGCTGTTGCGATGCAGCAACGGTAGCAGTGTATGGCGTCACACAGAACGAACATCGCAACCTACACAGTTAGGAAGGTAACACCTTTTTCATCACCTTTGTCCATGCAACTATCCCATCAGTACATCGCTTAGTAGTAGAAGATGTAACCAAACAGATAATATTACTTAAAATGGTTTTAATAGCCTAATTTTGATAGCAGCTAGATTCCTATAGCTGCTTCCATAAAAAGACCATTAGTTCATTTTTTGGACCCAGATGCACCCAGATGATTAACCGAAACGAAAATTTTTATGAATTAAACTCGGTTTTTACAACGACCTCACGATGGAATAAAAGGCGATGGACGCAGAATTTCACGAACAAGTATTTTTTCACAATATAACCATACCTGAATACTCATACCCCAGCTCGTCACGTATACGACGCAGCGGAAAAGACCGTGGGCATGGACACCGCACCTTCACTATGTGCTCGAATTAGGGCATAGAACTGGATTTGTGCAAGAAGTTAGCAACGGTCTTGAATTACTGAGTTTTTGCTTAAGCGACAGGTCGTGCATGCGCTTGGCGTACTTGAAGGAGAGGAGATAAGGCTAACAAGGATGTGCAGCAGAAGTGACATAGAGTATTAAACCGAAGTCATCTACGTACCTGAATCATCTCGTCCTCCGCCAGAAATTCACAGTGCTCCGGATCCATGGTTACAACTGTGCGTTGGAAACAAGGGCGATGTTTGAATAGTCTGAGGTTGCCGCCGATACTTAAGAGCGGTCCGCAAGAACACGTTAATTAAACTGCCGCTACGCCAATTTGCAGAGCTCGGTACAGTTGAGGGGCTACAGTAACTGGAAAAGGGAGTTTGGAAGTCTTCTGGGAAACAGAACGAAGTTGGTGTAATGAAATCGAGGTATAGGCGTTCCTCATGATGTGAGAAGCTTAATTAGTTGGATGTGGGGGAAAGAATGAGCATAAGTACACATGTCGAATGCTAACTCGGTACTGATCAACAAGGTTACCGTGAAAGGCTGTTGAGCAGGTTGTTGCTGTCTAATGGTCTAAAATAGGTACGGTTTTCATAGCGCTTCGAGGTCTGAGTTCACAAGGTGAGGGAGGTTCATCATGTGTCGGATATAAAGCCCCACTGTCCAGTCAGTTGAAATCCTCAGGGAACCGAGGTAGGGAGCGTCTGGGGTTATCACCCATGTGTCTAGTCAAGCAGAAGTCGAGGAAGATCACGTAAGACCTCTTCCAGCTCAGTCAGCTTGCTCTGTAGGTGCCCTAAAGGAAATAAGGATTGTCACAATGACTTGTCACGTTATTTCACCCCCTGGCGATGCCGTGGACTTGAAGGGTGTTCTATGACAATGTATGTCTTGAGCATTATCAAATATTTTCCGAAAAACAATGAGGCATATACCGTGCGAACTCAACCCCATTTAGCCACGGGCGTGCCGAGCTCACGACGGCAAAAACAGCGCTTCTGAAGGCCAGCCTCTCCTCGCAACTTCTCCTTTCTTGTTGAGCCGAATCGCAAAGAATCCTCATTCAGATCATCTTTTCAGCCATTCGTCTCTACATCCACACGTCCTAATGTTCAGTGCAGAGTTATTTCCGACCTTTAGACTTGTGAGTAGTAAAGTGCCCAGTTTCGCAGCCTCCTTGTCACCACCCAAAAGACCGGCGCGGGGCGCACCCACACTAGCGAGGCGGCGGTAGATGCTGTCCCCATTACCTGTGTTAATATTTTGGCATAGTATTTTTCCCATGTGATGTTAAAGTCTTTCATTCGTGCCTGGTAGGGGAAATCATACAATAGAGAAGCTTATATTTGAACTGTATGAATTCTCGGCCACAGTGTTGCAGTTAAGATGATTTTTAGACCAATGGGAATAGTTTTTCTCTAAAGTTGGAAAATATGGCTAAAGTGGGTGTTTTAATTCCATGCAAACAGTTGCCGTTTTAGTTCACCCACATTCTCTTTTCACCCACGATATCGTTTTGCTAGGAATACCAATCCGTTGATTTTGTAGTGTTCCCATGCCATTTATCATCTGACTCCAGATGTCAGATGCCCTTATAAGGTTGTCTTCTATCAAGCTGATGGGCCGTCCTTTGATCGCAGTTTAACAATTCTTCTGAATTACAGCCTGATGATAATTGTAGAGGGCCAATGAAGCTTCTTCTGATCGTTATTTTGGAACCAGTTGGTTCGAAGCCTTACCCCACTCACGAGTACGTACTCGCAGAAATTTTTCGGGGCATCAGGCCATTTGCGGGTTATCGCTTAGATATATCCGTTTTTTACTTACCAATACCTTGAATGTCAGTTCCAGGTGAAAATGATTTTCGAAGAGAATTGCAGGCACCCTTGGGGGCATCAGATTACGCGGTTTCGGTGACCTCCCCAATTAACCCTATTTTTCGCCCATGGATGGATTTCGTACCATCAATTCAGTGATAACTAGATAGCCCGGGTATGATCTGATGAGTTTTTTTTACCCAATCGGCAGCTTAAAGTTCACCCAATCTCCCAGATCGCACAAGCTCTCCCGAGTGCTTGTGCGATCTGGGAGGTTTCTGGTTAAATATTTTATCATACTTGCTTTATTGAAAAATATAAGCCCGGTACTAGAGCTGACTCATTAATTAGCTATCATCTGGGTAATGCAGTCGTTAGCTATCATATGGGCTACGAAATCATCACCCGGATAAAATCGGCGGTTACTTCGGAGCTATGCGAAGCGGTCTGCACACACTCAGAAGTTTTTTCTTCAGCATCCTTGTTCTACCCACATTAATGTGTGGCGTTGCATTGATCATGGTCGTTAATCCCATATCTCTACTTATATTCTGATTCGGATATGTTTAATCAGTCCCAAAGCTCGCAAAGCTTCCCCAAGAATTGATAAAGTATTCCGGGATCTAGCTCGGATCTCATTTTGTGCCGGTCACCAAACGGCTCTCGTTCTTCCACTCTTTTCTCCTCCATTTCTCCATCCCAACTTCTGGTATGGTTGTGTTCATATAAGGGGACGGCCAATCTGATGATTTTCTTCTTCCTTTAATGCACTCGTTTGTAAGAACAACGAAGAGTTGACGCTCGTGTCATACCGAGTCACCCGTCCTGCGGCTTCTTACCCCGTAGAGGAATGACGATCATTATGCACAGTCCCTGATTACCTTCGTTCGAATAGACCGTGGAGAGCCATACCCACATGCCCAACTGTAGACCGAGTGAATTATAAAAGCGCACTGTGGGCACCAGCAGTGGTTTTCGTGGTAGTAGTATTTTTCTCTATTAATGAATTTACGGAATCGTTTGTTTGATTTCTCAAGAGTTGCTTCATTTTTCCCAAAGCCCCCTGAGTTCATTGCGTCCGGGATAATGAGTTTTTCTTCGTCATTTGGTTCAATGGCAGAGTAGTCGAATGAATGGGTAATGTTTTACAACTGGTCTTTTGTCATTACTGGTCTAACTATTCATTTCGCTTACCAGTAAGGTCACATCGAAAAAATAGTATGGCAGTTTTTCCGTTTGTATATTTTCTTTGAGGCAGAGCTCGACGATTTCAGGCAGATTCAAGATTGAGGGGCATCCAATCCATTTTTTCTTTCGGCGTCCGCTCCTTCGTTGTTAGTAGTTAAGAATAACTATCCAAACCTACCATAAGTTATTGTACCTTGCTTCAATATGGGTATGTCGCATAGAGTCCAAGAACTTCTAAACACTGCCCTTTGTGAGAAAATCACTATTGGAGTCAACAAAATACAGTCTATTTTTGATGTACATATCACTGCGGTTTCGTGTTTGCTCGTATTTTCATATTTGAGTCAGCTAAAAACCGCTTTCCAGTTTGATGATGTTTGAAAATGTTTCATGTTTTCTTCTTTTTTTTTGTACTTTTGCAGATCGATGAAGTAATCATGCTAGACCAAAAAGGTCTCACTTGTATCATTGAGTTTGCTCTTTTCTTGAACTCTTCACGAGGTTTTTAAATATGCTTTATAAGGCTGACGTTTCGGCGGAATCGCCTTCTTCANAGCCTGAAAGGATCATAACAATTTGTGACTATGGTCTCACTTGTATCTCATTTTCATGTTCTCGGCAAGGCCATGCTATCTTAAATCATTTGTTCGAACTGATTAACTATGATGATCTTCAATCTTATCAGTGAACAGTGTTCGGTAGGATGCTTATTATAAATCAAAGTAAATCAGTACTGTTCGAATCAAAGTTATCGCTGAAGTAGGCCCATACTTCTCTGTCTTCATATCGCCGCTGCACGACGCTCGCGCAGCCGCTCTTAGTTATTGGTGCTACCACGTCATTGAGTTCCTGCAATAGCCCTTTTTTATCACAAATATCATTCACAAGACCTCTAAGTTCAAATGCAACAATTAATTTCATGATGAACGTCAACTTTCTCATGGACCTTTATCAAAACTCGTACTATGAACAAATTGGCGACATGAAATTTAGTATACCTTACTATCGAGGCTCAGCAATTATTACCAACAGCGGATTACTTTTGTGTCAGTGGGAACATTCAACTTATTGAAATGGATTTCTACGCTTGCTCTGATAGTACCTATCATTTCTGTAATTCCTAAAGTGTAGAATAGAAGTCTGACGTTATTAATCTGAACTGACTGTTTTCCTGTCGTTGTCGCAAATGAGAGCATGTCTGAACCCCTTGTTGGATGAAGTCATACTTCGCCTCTAGTTCCAACTTAAACATTCATGTACTATATATAGAATCCCTTTTAGTACCTTCGTATTAGGCCCATTCAGATTTGTCTATATTCTCCCAGTTGACCAATGGATACGACTTACGCACGCAATCCCTCAAGAGTACCACAGCCTTAGCTCAAGGGCTGTCTATTTCGCGCAGCGGTCAGCAGTAACAGCCCAACAAAATGCGGCTATTTGTTCACTCTTGTATTCACGGACCTTGAAAAACAGGAGCACACTTTCTCATAAGGGCTCATCTCGGGGTCCAGTACGGCAATCGCAGGCAGAGGACTTCGCAGCTGTGTGAAGCATGTTTGATTTTACGGTTGCCCTTGTTAGACTGACACCAGTATCGTGGGTTCTACTTCCTACCTGTTATATCTATGGGGCAGCGGAAGGAATCAAAGATTTATGTAGAGTACGAATCGTTCACGTAAATGATAAGAATGCAAAAACTTTGACCCTTTATCTAATCCAACCGAGGAGTCACCATTGAGAGTCATGCCTACTACACCAAAAACGCGAAAGCGAAAACCTAACGATTAGTTTGAAAAAGAAATGTGCAATCAACACGTACCTCTTTTCTTTACTCACCTACCCTTCCGATTTGGACTTTGGATGATCACAGCTATTGACGTCATTTGCTTTCTATTCAGATGGGCTTCAATGCCTGTAACAAAGCTGCTATTAATTTGGTCATATCCCTAACAATGTGACTCAATATTGTCATAAAACGTTGCAGTGGAACAGAAGAAAAAAGTAGATTCACAGATCGGCTTCGTGGTACGAGTCGTAGTTGTGTATACAAAGACATACATTCCGACATAGCGTCAAATATACATATACATGCATAAGCATATTGTATATATGCATGTATATATATATGTATGATGTAATCATCGAATGTACGTGTGTAATCATCGATTTCCTCGAGTGGGCGCCATTGACGAATGAAGACTTCAATGGCGCCCGCTCGATGAAATCGATGATCAAAGGGACGATAGGTGACAAGCGATATGTATACATCCTTGAACATACATATATATGGATATAACGCTAAGCCGGGAGTAGTGATATCCGCTCATACCACCAATTGTGAATCCTCTTCTGGTGACGGATTCACGATCACGAAAATGTTGCTGAGTAACTGGATACTCTTGGAATATTGCGTTCGTGACCTAAAACGGTGATGTAGCGTGGGATTGAACCCAGTCCATCCTGCAACAATCGCTCCCATCCTATCGGAAATGGGATTTAAAAGGCATTTACGTTCTATCTTTAAGTCCTCTTCGAAAACCCATGATTTCGCCACCTAATCCTGCAATACAAAGGGATAATATGATGAACAAACAGCAGGTGCCTATCTACGGGGTTACAACTATGCTTATCAAACGCACTTCTATTGTAAGGTGCACGCTCGACATCAAAAGTTGACAGTCTTGAAAGTTTTAGTTCGTTTTAGCACAAATTCGAACGAAGGCTTTGTTACGTTTCCATGTAAGGAAATGAATGATTGTTTTGGCCTAGATTCAACTACGGATAAAAAAATTTCCAAGTTAGGCACTGAGCTTTTAACTCAGAGGTCGAAATGGAGGAGTTCTGTTGGTTGTGTCGAAGCCCAGTGAAGGCTTTCATAACTTTGGATAGGCAAACATTGTCACGTAACCTGAGAAAAGCTTTTTCCATGCTTTTTGTTCCTATTGCCTGAAGTGGACACTTTTGTAAAGTTCTCTTAATTTCGTGACTGATACAGCAGTTTTCAGGAAGGTCGTGAAGCCTAGTACATTACATTTGTAATGAATAGACTACCTTACACTTTACATATCTTGAGCTTGACACATGAAAGACTGCAGTTCTGCCATCTGAACCGCACTGACACCACACAGGGTCACTTTTATTATTGCGTCCAGCATTTTGAAGGGTTTGATGGCACGTTTTTGTAATATACAAATAAATACAGTGTAGTACAATAGAGTAAATATACAAAAAAACATGACTCTGCGAGAGTAAAATAAAGCAGAATGTGTGTTCACCTCAAGAAACTGCTAACATAATTGAGGAATCGTCCTGATCATTGCGCTCGTAATATAACTGTGAGGGACCATTCAGTACCTGATTTTTTCAGGATTTGGCATTGGTCGTGCTTTTAGCGAGGTGTGGCTGAATGTCTACCCATCATTCAGAGGACCTCAGTGTGCTATGTCCTCAGATTCCTACCTCTGTGGATGGTAAGCTGCTTCAAACGTCAAGATAGTCTGTTGATGACAACAAACCTTACACTTAGTTGAAAATGCAGTCATTAGTTGAAATGAAGCTCAGTTGAAAATGTGATTGAAAGAGAATTCCGAAAAGCTGATTAGTCGCAGTTCTCACTAAAGTTGTCATTATTTCTTAGGATCTAATAGTTAATCATTGTTTTAGGTACGACTGGTCTAATAAGGGCGCTGCAAAACGGGACAGAAGAGGTTAGACACCTGTTGAAGAACAGCTGCAATTTGATTCTGGAGTGCAGGTAGATTGCGGTCGTTCTAACAATCCTTCCCGTTCTGTTATATTTCCCTGACTGTCTGCTGCTCTGAGCCCTCAATAACAGGCAATCCTTTCAGAATTTGTAAAGCTGTGTTCCGGCATGCGATAAACTTCCATCATCATAAGTTGAAAGTTTGTCGTGCTTACCACCAGCCTCTAACTCCTACGTACGAGCAGGTCCTGGCTTTCCAAAAAGAAGTTGCTGCAGCGTATAACTATGACCGGCCATCAACCAGTAAGGAATTCCTCGTGCACAGGGAGGAAGATTTTCAAAGAGAAATACTGGAGGATGATGATGATTTCATCGATGTCTATGATGGTTTGGAAGAGTTCTGTGGTGAAATTGACAGTCTTGACAGTCCAGAACCCGGCGAATATACTGAGGAACCCGGAGAATATATTGATGAACAAGATGACATCAGTATTTTTGATGACGGCATGTCCGACTCGATAGAAGAAGGCGAATATATCGAAGATTCTTCCATAAGCAACTGTACCGCCTCGCCATCATCAACCACGGTTAGTTTGTTAGCTGTTATCACTTTTTTCCTTCCATTAGATACAAATACACTGGAGTGGTGGACTGAGGGGATAGAAATGCCAGTTATTCAAGGAAACAATATTCGGTTTGGAGATAAGGGCTCGCAAAAAGAAAAAACCTATGTAGATGTCTTCTCAACTGATTCGGACAAGTTATGATGTTTCGTTTCAAGACAGAGTGCCCTCTAAAGTCTTATTTATTATGCAATACGTTGTTCTTGCCATTGTTTCCTGAGCGGAGAACAAAATTATTGAAATCGTTAACAATTTTTATTGCAAATTTCTGCGATATGTGAACGATGAGCCTTTACTGCATATTAGCCCGATGACAAATAACTTTCTACGCACTCCAATTTGGCTCCTCATTCTCCTAAACATTGCCTACGCGCCTATCCTCATGTTATTTATGTGAGTAAGTGAGAGTTAAGTAACCAATTTCGTGTAAGATCATCACCTCTCGTTCGCTTCCTAGACATCCATCCTGGGAACGAGTACAGTTGCTGAATTAGCGCGGAGCAGAACCAAGCTTTTTCCTTTCCACGAAGTCATTCCCGTTTGTCCACTCCTGTCTAAGCAACTGACCTCGAAAAATCGATTTTCTGAAATGTTCTTCGGTACTTTTCCTAACGAGATATTCATACATTTCAGCATGATTGAATATTTAACTGAAATAGCAATAGAAACTAGGGACCCATGCGTTGAAGCATAGCATGCTAGTTAAGCGCCTAACTGCACAGCGGTCAGGCTTTTCGCAATTCATTGTGCGCACTGGACATCGTTCGTTAAAAAAAGGTCGTCAATGATATTCTTTTGAGCCTTGCCACTTATTTCAGAGTATGGATCAAGCTGATGCTCCAGAGGTGGCAGCTCCAAATGAGAAGGACACTTCGGGTGAAGGTGAATTTTGTGTTTTTTTTCACTTGTGATAGGTTGCAGTGCTTTACTGCTCATAAGTTTATTGTTGTTCCGTAATACGAATGTGCCTGACCTCAGTAGAAATCCATCAATCTTAAAGCAACACGACTACTCGGATTGCGCTCGAAATCTCATCGCCCACTCAGTTGTATTTCCGTTGCTAGTAATCTCACACACACATGCCCTGGTTACCCGTAGTGCTTGTGTAAGTGGTTGTGAGTCAGGCGAAGAGTTCACGTCCAGCGGCTCAGCTACTCGAAGTCACCATATGAGATTCCGGCACTAGTCAACTCACATAGTCCGACATACCACTGGATTTCGACTAGTTTATTGTATGCTCTCACTAACCGCAATGAATTTTTTACACCGACAGAGCGAAGGTTTACAGCTGGATCCAGCATCTCAACATTCCCAACAAATTTACAGTAATCTGAAATGTCTTAATCCACGCAAACGCTTTATCCTCTCCATGTTCCAAAACTGTTATACTCGATGAAAAGTATGCTTATTTCAGAGAGCGATGCAATCTCTGTGCCGGAGAGCCCTCCTCCCGATTGCCATCTTAACTTTCCTATATTCAATGATCAACTTCTGGAGTCACCAACGGATTATGATTACTTCGGAAAAGGCGAAAAAGGACCAGCGGGCCCATTGCTTCTTCCAGTAGGTCAAATGGAATAACCAAAGTATTTTTTTCATTCTGACTCTAGTCGACATTACTCAGTGCTGTTATCAATCCGACTGCAAAACTTAGGCGCAGTTTTAGTTAAGTTGGACAAAGCAGCTGGAATTTCAGCAGCGTGAACGTTCCAGGAAATATCCTATTCAGCATCCCTTAACTGTCCAAATGTAAGCATAATGCAATCGAAGAACATTACTTCAAACTATTTTTCATTGAAATGCAAGGGGACTTGGGATTTAATTGAAAGTTTCACGTTACTTTGTACTTTGTTTCACGTTTCAAGTATAACATTTTTGGGTACATGTTTGTCAATGTTGTCTGAGTAAAAATGATATAAACACCTAAGTTTCACAGTCGGAGTAAGATATAGCAGAGAGCACCCATGTTTAACTGCTTGTTTGACACAGCCATAGGCCTGCTATTCCCGCATTATACGTGTACAGTCTGTGATTGAATCTTCTAAATATCAATGCTCCATTCATTATTAATGGCATAAGGCAACTTAAGGATCTATTTTGACAGGAGCTTGTTGTTAGGAGTAGGCAGTCTTTCTTGTTGAGATTTCATAGTTTTCACCATTGTACTTTCACCGTTGTGACTGCTTACTTTCATTGTAATAAGCGAATATTGTTCTAACATTTGTGGAGCAATTACTGGCATATTCGGAGATTCTTTCCCTATCTCAGATCATTGCAAGTGTCATTGCTTAGGTTCATACAAAATTATGACGGCTGTTTTTTCTAGTGTTGCCATTGCATTGTTTAGACCAGTAGGTTCCAGTGTACAGAGATCACTAATAAATATTGTTAGAAATGTGATATTTTGTTCAAGTTGCGAAAGTTAAGCGTCTTTTACCTCACAGTAAGATGCACTCACCCTACTTTGTATGAATCTATGCCCTCAGCCACTGTACCGCTTCTGATTGGCATCAATGCTTCCCTTCTTTCTGCATTTTCATCGAGGTTTGCTCGAAAAGGGCCAAACTTCAAACCTTTCACATTTCAACGACATGAAAAAGGAGCTCACCTAATTTCTCTCAGAGCAGGGTGACTGCTTAGTGTATTATTCTTAATTAGCAGCGGAAGCGGCTTAATTATCCAGAACAAAAAAGAATGAGAATCTACGTAGAAATTTCCTTGAGACAATCGTTCCACTGCAACACAGAGAACGATGCATTTGTTGTACCGACTGTGCTCTTCACGGAGCTCTTGGCGTAAAGTAGCAAGTTCTGCTTGTGTTGATAAAAAATATAAACCGCATCTACGGCATGAAATGAAACAGCAGCATTTCGTAAGTCCAGCAGCAGCAGATGTTGTTGCCGGAGTAATTATTACACATTAAAAACATACATATTTATAAACAAATTCTTCAATACTTCATTGTATAAGATATTATCACGTTCTTGTCATCGGATGGGCTCGTAATCGTACAGAAGCTGGCTGAGCACTGCTCGGTGAGTCAAGCAACGGAACTGAAAATTACAACCGAACAAACTGATGGAAAGGTGGCCCGTAGATATTGTTCTTCAACAAAATTTAAAAATGCGAGCATTGATAAAAAAGTGAAAACTTACCCGAAACAGCCTTTTGAGATGAGTCAGAGAGCAAAACAAGGGTTAAGGTCACATCAGCTGCATCACTCCATGCTTCTGAAGATGAGATCAGCACCTGCAAAAAAATCTGTAATAAACAAAGTGATCGACTACTGCTCACAAAATTCGGCAGTGCAAGGCAAACAAGGAAAATTGTGACAACTGGTTGAAAAATTACCAAAGACGATACGCGGTCTCCTTCCTTTGAAATGTCTGTAGCTAGAGGTCGGAAATAGTCGCGTGTGTTATTAGGGTAGTCTACCTGAAACCGTAACATTTTAAAAAGAAAAAAGCGGAGGAGTACAGCTCACAGGTCCCGGGGCGTTGATCAGTCCCGTCAGAGGAATGCACCCACGCATTGGACCGCGACTTCCATTCAGAGTAGCGGCGTAGTGAACGCATATGTGGTCTACACAATGACTTGCGGTGGCCAGCCGATGTACAAGCAGTGCTCTCACCCTCCCAGATAAATCAAGTACTAATCAACAGATCCCGGATACGTGGAAGACTTGGTTGCCATAGGCGATATCGACCCGGGAATCGAACCCGTGATCATTCGTATGAGATTGCGCCACTTGCCACTACACCGCTTCCGCCCAGCGTAGCAGNCAGAAAATTAAGCCATCATAATAGCCATATTAGTCCGTTAATGAGTGAAAGACCTGGGATAAAGTTGTAAAGCTAACATTTTTCAAGCGCAGAGGTTTCGCTTTACTCTGTTTTCACCAAATTCACTGCAAAAAGATCTTTTTTTAATGGAAGCTTCTATCATAGTTCCTGGCATTGCGACCCATTTCAGCTATCGCTTGTCGCGCTCCATAGAAGCAGAAGATCTCTGACCAAAGTACACGACTTTCTTCTATTGTCAACATTGAAGGAAACAGAAATCGTCTATGAACAGGAATTCGACAAAAACATGACGCAGGTGCACAGGAAGCGTGCTGCCCACAAATGGCGCATTTTATACATGCTGTCTCTCTACAACAGTCAGCAGGATGTATAGAAAGGACATTTTTCCCAAATCATGAGCCGCACATTTCACATTGAAATGAGAACCCAACGAACTTGAAGGTCCACAGATTGTTTGAAAAACTCATGCATTTTAACTGTTTTAATTGCCTTATTCCTTAGCAATGTCCAAAATTCAATAGGATACAATGGCCTCCATTCAAAGTTGCGCGGGTAGAAAAAATCTCCTGGTCAGTACAGTAGCAGATACTCGAAAGGTACAGAGATGCACTAGAAAGACACTACCATGTAGCAGGATCAATTTTCTGGGACCCAATGAATGTGATTATACCCTTCCAGAACTACAAAAAATGCCCACCACTCTACTTGTAGCCATTAGGGTCGTGCTGAAAGGGTATAATCACAAACAATCTTGTTGATTGAGAGTAGCCGTGTTTAGAGAATGCCAAAGTCAGCGATCTAGAAGGTCCTTCTACTGCAACAACGGCTTTGTGGCATGTTGCTGCGATACTAGAAACTAAAGGGCTTGAAGTAACTATTCATTCATATGGCAAATAATCACAAAATACCCTTACGCTCGACTTAGCATTTTCGCAAGACGCAAATAAAATGCTCAAAATGTTACCGTACCTGTACTCGCAGATTGCGCAAGTCATTTTCGGTGAGATTGTGAAGAGAGGCGACAAATTTCACTGCACATGGTAAACCAGCCACAAACCGTATCGGTTTCTCAATTGCTACGTCGCGGTTCGGTTCAGAAATCTGCAATATGGAGTTTACTTGAAACAGTCCTAGGTTAATGCGTATTCTATTACCAACGAATGATGCGAAAGACATCATTCTAAACATAAAAGTAATTTCACGAAACGCACAAAGTAATACATACCCGCGCCCATTTAGATCGAATTTTCCCTACATCGGGAAAGGAACTGGGGAGAAGTGGCGCGTGCGTAACCAGTAAATGACCAAAAGTACCGACGGAGAGTATCTTCTTGCTATCTGCCGTGCAACGTTCTAAAGGATCCAATATGGCAGTGATCAAAGATACAGCTTGTTCACAAGGCTCTCCATTTGCCGCCCAGCGCCTGAAATGATTTTTTTCAAAACTAAAATCAGGCTATATTATAGTGGTGTATATATACCTCTCCGCTTCTCTAATAACCGCACGGATGTCCATAACTATTTGAGCATAACGTTCAGGAGAAATGGTCATCTCTACAAGCAATTCCAGTAATGACAAAAACATTCCTGCCTCGATCAAGAAGGAGGCCATTTCCGGTGGCAACCCCGCAAACTGGTGCTCTGCGCAGCGTATTCGAACCAATTCCTGAACAGGACCATAAAGTTATTGAAGGATTAGTAAAAGATGAAGTTGACGTCATTCAATCCCGATTTTACGATGCGCCCCAACACTTGAGTTTCATTCGAGACTCCGGATCGTAGATGCGACTGAATGGGTGTTTGGCCCATACAATGACTTGCGGTGGTAAGCCGATATGAAGTCAGTGCCTTTATCCACCCAAACGAGTCAGATAGCCTTCAACACACCAGGAAGGATGGAAACCCCAGATCATCCTGTGATAGTGTACGTCGCTTGCCACTATATACCCCCGCCCATGAAAAAAATTATACTGGTTATTAAGTTGGTTACTTTACCAAGCGCCCATGGCGCCATTCCCTTAAAATATTGAGTGAAAATCTAACTTCGTTTAAAAAAAACCAAAAACTGATAATTGTAGACCGAATAGAAGTCGAGGCCAAGGTTCTTTTCTACTGGATAAAAACCATAAGCTCGTGTGTCTGTTAGCTTCTCTGCCTATATTAGGTATTACCTGAAGAATTATCACGAGAGGCTAGGTCAAGTTTGAGATGCATGGAGCCTAGGAAGATCAACAGAGCACATACGAGCTTAGCGGAACTGCACCCACGGGGAGCTGGATATACTTGAAAGGGTGGTCAGAAGGGCTAAACTGTTTATTTTGACTTTCGGAAACTCGGACATGGAAAAAGGGCAAAGGTTAGGAATGGGTCAGAAATACAGACGAAGGACGCCCAGTTGGAAGGAGCGTTTTCGAAGTTGGCGGTATATTCTATATGAATTCATTACTTGGTTCCAACAAAAAATCTGAGGCCAGGAAGAGGTGTATTAGTGAGCAGGGTGTTATGCATTCGTAAGCTCACCGAAGATTGGCTAATCGTGAGCGGAACACGCTTTCATATGGAAAGCTCTACTGATAGAATTTCATAACTGCACTCAAAAACGTTCTCGAATTCGAAAACGTGGTTGCAGGGTATTAAAGGAGGAGGGGTCGAATAATACTAAAAGGGGAGGGGGTGGCGCGTACCGAAGTGGGCGGAGTTGTGAACACCCACTCACAACTGTGCTTGAGAACATTCCAGAATCCTCAAAGGATAAAGATTATCCTCTGCATGCAGATGAACCCTGTCTAAGGAATGCGCATTTGACTTCCATTCAAAATCGCAGTGACGTATTGAATGCGTATGTGACCTAAAAATTAACTTCAATACGCCACTACGATTCCGAATGGGATGTACAAGTCAGGGCTTTCATCGAGTCTATTACTGACCGCTGTAGGATAGGAAGCTTGGTTGGCCTGGGCGAATGTTGATCGAGATACCACGAAGATTCATAACTTTGATCAAACACGTTCTGAGGCCCAGGTAAAAACTGGTTGGATGTTACTAGGACTGAAAGTTGCCAGATTTTGATTACGCACGGGATTCGCATCAAGGTGGGCGGTGCTGCGAAAAAGTCTATTCAAAATTGTCTTAAAATCCTTTATCTGACTCTTCACAAAGATGTAATGCAACATACTTGATGCACTATATTGGATGCATCTTTGGTATCTCCACCGCCGCGAAGTACAACTTGTGTGAGCGATTCCAGGGCAGAACATATCTCGCAAAGACTAGCAATGAAACGTGCAGCACCGGCTAGCGGCTCGTTAAAGGCACTAATGGCATTCGCTTCTCTGAAAGTTGGGCATACATTATATGATTTTAAGAAACAAGGAAAGCGTTATTTGAAGCTGCACGAGTACTTACTCGACAATAAACCGCCGAAGAGCATTTCTGTCAGCTAATGTAGGTTCTCGAGTCACTTCCTGTAACCTTTCGTACGCATTCACCAAAATATCGGATGTACTGTCTGCAAGTTCTTCAGGAGGGGATGATGACGCCAAGGAACTTGCGCTGGGTTTCTCCAAAACCTTTGAAGCAATTGTTTATGTTATGAACGACAGAATAAGAAACTTTGCCTCCGACCGATTCACTATATCCTACCTTTATAGGTGCTACTAGATCGGAAGCAGCTGCACGAAGAAACCGGTAATGCCTTAGAACGCACTCGGGCAAAAGAGAAACAATAGGCTCATAATTGGCAGCCGCGTTCAGTACCAGTATGAGTTTGGCGATATCTGTAAACGAATGAGCTCAAGGAAGAACATTCCGTAATGGCGTGAGAATCAAGAGGAAGCGTGGATGTTCAGACCTCATAGTCCAACTACGGCGCAAAATTCGATCAGAACAACGTTTTTTTTCACTTCGTAGAATGAACTTACAGAAGACGTCATCTATTTGTTGTTCTCTGGTGTCATATACAAGGTGGAGGCCTAGAAGTTCCCGAACCATTCCATGAACGAAAACAGCATGATGAGCGCCAACTTCGCTCAAACACCTATGGCAGCGATACAAAAGAAGTAGTGGATATGGCGAAAAGGAGGGGCACCTGTATATTTGATTTTTGTCAGAAGGAAATCGGTGCAAGCAATTCAGCAAAGCTCGCGAGCAAATTCTCATGCATTCAGCATCGGCGAATTCAGCCTTTGCCAGAAGATCTCGTAATGCTTGCCGGGAATCCACGATCGCATCCTGAAATCCAGCATTAAGACAGATAAAAGCGTTCATTAAAAATCTAAAATCATGAGTAAACCGTACATCTGTACAGAGATTGTTATGCTGCTATGTAGGTTTAATTTGAGAGCGTTTGAGCACCGCTACTTCACAGAAGCCAAGCCAATAATTCAAGTCTTCAAGAAAAATTGTTTTTTGTGTGGATACTATTTTTTCGATTTGCTAGCGGTTGGATTTGATCTAGCCATACGCAGTTATCGAAATACAGAGGGGATCAACCATGAACACAGGATAAGCAATGGCTGGAGAAGCTTCCTACCACTACTGTTCTCAGATTCTACCAGATTCAGCTAAAAAGCAACTCGATCAAGAAAAGCTAAGAAATATTTTTAGTGTTCTGCTGCTTGTCATTAACAATAGATATAATTTGAAACCAGGTGAACTGATTGAGCTCATTCATAATGACTTTTAACGGAAGTGATCTCGCAATTCTGTCCACTACCTGGATCAGTATCAAAGATGCGAATCTAGTGAGTAGTAAGGCCTCTAGAAACCTTCAGTCAGTTGAAAAACACATATACATACAAGCATGTATGCCACATAGCAAGGAAATTATAATAGCTGCACACAGTCATAACGAGATACGGATGAAGAATGGCTTTCCCAACTTGTAAAACTCATACTCACATCAAGACATTTCAGCACAGTCTCGAGCTGTTCCTTCTGCAACTCCCCGTGTACAATTAGCGGGGTCAGGGCTGCGATTGCATCCAAACGCACCTAAGAAGTTCGTGTTACTCCCTGTGTTACACAATGACAGCAATAATGACTAAACAATTTACTTCGACAATTTCGTCGTTGAACATATCGGCGAGATGATCCAGCGCAGTCGTAGCAAAGGAAGGTCGAGTTGAAGCTAGTTTGCCAAGGGAAAATACGGCAGCCCGTCGTACAGCTAAAAATTAGTAAATCAATTCTCGGGCGATTGTATTCATTGTCACTGCCGGAACCAAAAAGGTTAGATCACAAAAAGAATGAATCGCATTCACATTATTTTTCAAATCGCAGATTCTAATATATGAGTATGTTACAAACTACGAGCTGCNACAGTGAACTGAACGCTGTTAGCATATATGAGCGTCTCCCTGCTGATCGTGCCACAACTTTTCAAAGACTTCATCGACGGCTTTTCTGGTAGAGTCGTTGCATGGACAGAGGTAACAGTACTTTCTGATGATTCCGAGTTTGCCTTACATCACCATAGCGAGAAGAATGAAATAGTTGACGGTAAGTAAGCAACTGTTACTAACTTTTAGCACCATACCTAGACTAAGCCTACAACTAAAATCGCGCAATTCTGTTATTAGCACCTTCCAGCCACTTTTGATTCTACTGATACCACTCGTAAATCGACCATAACTCACACATAAATTCGTCCTCCAATGCAGAAACGAATGCACCACAAGCTCCGCGAGGAACTATGCTCTCCGTCTCATCATCTTGAGCTGCGGCAGAATCAGTAGGAGGACAACGAGCGTTTAGTTCCTTTCCGGATGACCATTCACTGCTTGCAGACCTCAAAAGATATACCGCAAAAATCAAGTCCACGAGAACTACAAGAGAAGTCCGGAAATTCGCAGAGATATCAGTAAAAACAAAGATGACTCACGGCATTTGTCTCTGATAACCCAAATGACTATATTTCCATCGTGATTCTCTCGTTGGCTGTTGGGCTCCCTGAGTTATCGCGAATCGTGACTGATGTACTTTTTTCACTTGCTCTCTACCACTGGAGTCCTGAAACGCACCATTCTCACTAGCCGTTTTGAAACTTAGTAAAAAGTCGAACCTGAACAGTTTTCATCATTTTCTTGTCAAGGGTTTGATCTAAGAAACTGTCCGACACCATTTGAAACTCTCCGAGAATGGTAGCTGCTTCAGTCCTCACCATTACCTGAATTATCTTTTCTTTTTTGTGGACGAGAAGAACCTCATGTTAGGAATTTTATATGTTAGACAATATGTTGACATCCCTCGAAGTGATTTCAATCAATAGCAAGCAAAAAGGGAATATCAGAAACCCACCTCATGATCATTCACAGCATTACATACAATTGAGAAAGCATCATCACAGAGTTGCAGCTTCGTATCCGACGAATTTGAAAACGTACTAATAATCGATCTGAAAAAACATAATGTATTAACACATGACTTTCTTTCGAGCGGGATCGGCTTGAATGAACTACCTACAGTGTTGGCATCCTGTTTGCGAAAACCAGCAGGATACGTAGGGCAAGAATCCGCACTTGCCTGTGGGAGTCTCCAACAGACTGCAACACGTTAACTACAAACACGACTGCATGTTATATAGTGATACGCAGTTACCATTACAGAAGTAGATCAACGATTCAATCGGTATTGTTTAGATCGCTGACATGGAGTTGCACAGAGTTGCAATTCCGTAACCGAGGACGTGGAAATCCTCCTGATTCACCAGTTTCCATTTTGCTTTCCCAGAGCTGCACTTAAGTGGTCAGAAGATCGCTTCTCACATACTCCTGCGTAAGGCGTTTGGTGGTGTATGGACGAATTCATATCATTTAGAGTAATCACAAACCGTTTCTATATAGAAAGCTGAGTTCTTCTAAACTTTGCCCTCATAGGAAGTGTGACCCAAGCTTTCGTTAGGATTGTACGTATTAAGCGCCCCACCTACAGAATAGGACCCCACTGAAGCGATATTCAATTTACGTAGTATTTTGAAAAAGGCAAATTGGCTCAACGCTTCCAGAACATAAAAGTTTTCCACGATGTTCTGAACAGCTGATTACGTTTGTTGAAAAACACCACCAACTCATATATAGAAGAATAGATCGTCAAATTAGGCAACACCCACGTTCTTGACGGTATTGTAGGTATGGATGGTCAGTCCATCTTCAACACCACTAAGAAGCGATAATCCTTCGATCGCAGACAGGCGCACCCGTGAATCCATGTCGGTTGTCATCTGACAGAGCAAGCGCTCCAATACCAATAAGGATGTCGAATCAGGCCTCCCTGAAAGGAATCTTATAAGCAAAAACAGCACAGAAATAAGATTCGGACGCTGAGCAAAGGGTATGTTTCATGATGCCATTCCGAAGTTTTGCAGTGCTGTGCTGTTCTAGGGTGGTTTGTTTAAGAGAAGTTGAATCCAGCTCACTGTCATTACTGCCAGTTCAGTACGAGAGGGGTGGGAGGGGGGGAGGGGGGCTGGAGATGGATCTAAGACTTTTTGTGAGGGACAACACGATGCGAGTTCATTTCAAACAACGTCATGCTGATTTAAAAACCCTCAACTAAAACCTGACAATTCTATCTAAACGGAAAAAAACCTCTGTGGCTAATGCGAGATCAAAAGGTTGTCTGCGACAGAGGGACCAAAATTGAACATGCAGCGAACTTGAGAAGAAAGAAACTAACGGCTCATAACACGTGCAACATGAAATCCTATAGCTGCGCATCTGTATCCATGTGCAGACGAATGCAAACATCGATCGGCACAGCGCAAAACTCTGTAAAACGAGGGCTACTGACACAAGTTTCATTATCCTCGATTTCTAGATATGAACTTATTAATAGAATGCTTATGAGCATTGAAGAACCTCGCGTTATAATCAACTCTAAAGAAGTTATACCTTATAGGAATGCAATCCGCTGATATTGCACCTGTGTTGAGACCCTCGGTTAGCAACAATAGCAAACCATCATCCAAATAAGTTCTCGTGAATAGGCTGAAAGTGGATTGCGAATGTAGCACCGCTTAAAGAAGGTGATGCCAAAATGAGGCATTTCAATACCACAACACACTGTAAAACCCATCTTAGAGTAAAACCCATCTTAGAGGAAAGGTCTTGCAGTCAGTACCTTTTGCAACAGACGCCTCACACATGAGAAAAGGCTTTTCACTTAGGTAATAGCAGTAAATTCCTTACTTGGCCTCCTTCCCTGCATCCGATAGTATTCTCTGGAGGACAACGTTCCATAAGGCACCATCCGTCCGCCGCATTATACACAGCAACATTCTTAAAAAAACATGATTTACGGGGCATTGACATTAGAAGTACCTTTTAGTATATTCAAAAGGAAATCATTAAGGATTCGAACAAGCAAACCGAAGAAGTTGTCGGGCAATTTGATCATAAGTGGTAACCGATGCCGAAGTGATGATAATGTTAACCACCTCTTCTATGTCGTCGGTTAAGGTGGGAAGGTGTTCAATTGAAAACTCCCGAAGCAAAATGGAAGCACTGAACGATAATATTGCACAACCAGCAAAATAAACTGCTTTTAGAATGTTTATCTCTTACATTTGACGATCACCGCCTTGGAGACGAGAAAGCACATCACTGAGCACATCTACAGCACGACGCTTCGATAATGGGATTGCGGGTGGTCGACGAACCAAGTTATTGCTTTCCAAATCCTGATATATCAGTCATGGAGTATCTGACTTACACTCCAAGCGAAAAAAAAAACACGTTTATGGTTCGTTCTATGCGCTAGCAATGTTGAAATCTCACAGAACTATCCAAAGATTGAACAAAAAAGCATTTTACCACTTATGAGTGAGGATACAGAACATGAAGCAGGCTGCTGATGCATAAGACAGCGCTAGCTTTCATGAACATAGTTAGAACAACTACTCTATATGGTCTAGTGAATCATGGAAACACGTTCGTATGCAACCAATGTAACATATATTCTAATGCGGTGCTTATAGACCGCGAGCCAACTCTTTCAGGATGCGCCAAGCGCTCGAATTAGGACTTTGATGTAGGTCGTATCTGAATACGCACTGTATTTATTATTGACCTGAAGCTGACATAAGCTATTTCACATGAAACACTTTGATTGCCAGCAGGGAATATATGCCATATGAAGGTGAATTAGAGGCGGCGGTGGTGTAGTGGCAAACTGTTCACTCTCACACACGCGTGGTCACGGGATTCAATTCTGTACCGATATCCGCCTAGATCAACGGAGTCCCCCATCCCTTTCGGGGTTCGATTGGTACTGGGAGGATAAAGGCACTGACTTATACATCAACTGGCGACCGCAAGTCATTGTATAGGCAACATACGGATTCAATCGCCACTATGGCTCTAAATGAATGTCGAATGAGGGGCGCCATCTGCAAGACAGAACTGATTGAAGCCCAAGGACTTTATCTCTCCTGTTTTGAGGTAATTCGTCATTAATCGGGGTCCGCTTCCAACGAGCGCTAATAGATGTATGAACAGTGTATTGTTTAGCCTTCCATAAACTGAAGTCATTCAAAGCTTTATCGACAGGTACCTGAGCGGTTTCATGAACGCTTCACTCAAAAAATAATAAATCGAGAAATAGGAAAAGAGTGAAGACGTACCTGTTTTACCCTTTTGACGTCAGTGGCGAAACTCACATCCGGAACATGCTTCCGTTTCTTCGTAAGCAAAGTAGTTTTTACCATTATGGAATCACAAGCCCACTAGGGCCAGACTATCATGAGCAGTTCAGAGAACCGGTGGTTAGAAGCGAGCACTCTCTTTATCCTGCTGGAAATTAACTGATGAATTCGAAAACGAGTTTTGAGACGATATATGTAATGTTGACCGCAACACACAGCGAACAACGGATTGTACGCGACAATAGTGCAACGTCTAAAGGTAGTGGGTTCCCAACGATAAAAAATGAGACGGCAAAGTGAACCGAACGTTAGGGCTGTGCCTCTACGTGGGAATGGAATGAATGGGAATTTGATCTCTGCCGAGGGAAAAACCACGCTCTGCTAAATTCGCAAAAGTACTGCAGGATTCAGGATCAGACCCGGATTGAGAAGCTAACTGATGTGGAACCTCCGTCTCGAACATGACTAAAGTCTCAAAAACTAACGTTTGTTGAAAATCGTCGTCCTAATCTCTCGAGCCGCAGAATCCCTCGAGTACTGAGCCCTTGCCATAGCCCGAACGAAGACATGATGAGCGTTTCAATAACGGCTGAGAAGAAAGACAAGAAAGAGGAATACTGGGCAATGATATCCGCGTACGCACCATAAGCCGCTTGCTCCAAATGGGAAAATGAGTGGACCCTAACAATGACATAGGAACAGTTTTGAGAGGGGGAGGGGGAACCTCAACGTAGCGGTAATCTGGATTACCGTGTGACGCCTTCATAGG